TTTAGTCGATGCATGTCTTTATCCATAAGATGCATTTCTTGTAGGCAACAGGTAGAGGATTTCTATTTTTTAGTTCATTCAGCCAGTCTGTGTGTCTTGATTAGCGAATTTAGCTTATTCACATTCAACGCTATTATTAATATTTCTGGACATGTTCCTATCATTAAATGAGATATTTTCTTGGTTGCTTTTTGTTCTCTTATAGCCATAGTTCTGACTTTTTAGTTTTCCTGGTGTAGCACTCCTTTCATAACCTTTTTTTTTTTTTTTTTTTGGAGAGATTTTCACTGTAGGGCGCGTGCGCTCACCAGACAGACAGAGAGAGACATAGAGACAGAAAGTGAGAAATCACCCCCCAGGGGGGATGGTCACGCCGCAATCCCTTCTCCTCCATTCTCCTCTCAGGATCTTGGGCACGCACGCACATGCGCCCGGCGTGAGTTTTAAGCCACTGGGTCCGGGACACGAACCGTGGTCGACTACGGGGGAGTCCAGCGACATAGCCATTACGCTAACTGCTGGTTCCCTCCTTTCATAACCTTTTAAAGAACTGGTCTGGAGTTGGTAAATTCTTTCAGGTTTTGCTTATCTAGGAATGCTTTTCTCTTTTTTTTCCACCAGATTCATGCTGTTTTGAAGATATGTCAAAGATCTTCTTTGTGTTTGCTTTCCTTCTTTCTTTCCTTATCTTTTTTTTTTTTTAAGTTTGCTATAGGGTACACATTCACCAGAGAGAGATTGAGAAACAGAGAGAGAAAGGGAAAGTGAGAAATCACACACCCCCTTCCCCAGGGGGGATGGCCATTCCACAATCTCTTCTCTTCCATTCTCATTTTGGGATTTGAGGCATGCATATATATATACACAGCCAGCATGATTTTCAAGCTGCTGACTCTGGAACTAGAATCACGAAGTTGGCCATGTGTTTTCCAGCCACCTTAACCTCCATGCCACCTGCTGGTCCTGTGCTTTCTTTTATGCCTGCTTCATGGAAACCATGTGGCCATATGGTTACTCTGGGACATATAATTTAGTAGGACACACGTGGGCAAACTCCAGGCTCCAGTCTTACCATTTGTCCTGGTGGGTCACAAACAAATGAGCAGATGTTTCCTTTATGAGATATTTTAGAGGTGTAAGGGTTTTGTTGTAAAGAAGCAAGTTTTGTTCAAAGAAGGCCCTATGGATTTTTGTAATTTCCTAATTCCGAGTACACTAGTAAATATATTCTCCCCTTAAACAAAATCTCTTCTCTCTGTCTCTCATTGGGAGAGAAACTTTGCTTCCTACACACATTTTTGATTCAAATGTCATATTCAACAAATACATATTTCACATTTAAGAAAAGAGAAACTTTCCACCTCAATAGTTTTTTATTCTTAACCATATTAGAATTACTTTTTTGAATTAGCACACATAATGGCCAGTTAGGTGACTAAAATTCATAAGTAGATTATGGATTCTAAGAGAATAATTTTTCATCCTACTAAATACATTTGTTTCTAACTGAAGATTTCAATGAACACATTATTGCTTTGAGTAATTGCAATAGAGCTTAAAAGTAGTTTATTTTTGAAAACTAGGATCACATTTTTCAGAATGCCTATGGCCTTGGTTCTTTTGCATACCAGGGGAATAATATAACATTTGCCAACATTTCTGTGTTCCTCAAATCAGGATGAATCTTAAAATTGATTTGTATATTTATTGTGATGGTGTTTCTCCTGCTCACCAAGGGGGGGTGGGACTTAAATTGAGTCTAAGAGTCTATATGCTTTCTTTTTTTATTAATTGCTAGGCAGAGATAGAAAGAGAGAGAAAGGGAGAGGAGAGCATTCCTCACCCTCCTCCTTGCAAAGAGACATGGCTATGCCACAGCCCTTCCTTTGCCATTTCTCCATCCTGTCTGAATTTGGGAGGTGCATACACACTTGGTCAACCTATATTTCAAGCCACAAGGCTGGGATTTGAACTGCAGTAGGCTATGTGGGATCTGGTTCCCTTAACCACGAGGCTAACCTGAGATATACTTTTCTACAATAGAGAAGATGGAAACTTGTCTTACCTGAATCATTTTGGTGTGCAGCCCTTGTCCTAGTTCACAGCCACCGTGAGTCACCAAGACAGAACCATCTAGATAGATGTGGACTAGAGCAGCTGCCTGTGAGAAAATAGTTATAAAACCGGTTTGGAAACAAATGCAGTCACATTGCTGTGAGTTTAGCTGGGGCTGCTGGACATACACCTGTTTCATTGAGCTGATCTCTCTCTGTTCATTCTGGAGAAGAAAGCTATTATTAGTGGCAACAGACAAGTCCTTGTAAGAAATCTCAGACTTGAAAACCATCAGTGTAGAACCATGAATCTGCTCATCTTCATGGTCTTCTGCCTGCTGGAGGCTTGGTGTAGTTGCCCTGGGAGCTGCCTCTCCAAAACCTCAACCTGCAAAGCATTTAAGTATTCTTCCTCCCTGGACATGGAAATTAATTTTAGAGTGATGGAATCTGCAAGAATTAATTGTGGGCATGACCTCTTTCAGATACTAGAGGAACTAGAAGAAACTCGAGACGTGTTATCGATTTCCAAACAGATATTTCAGAATTGTGATGCAGGGATATGGGCCCCATTCTGGAAACTCCATTCAGTGACAGGCTGAAGATAGAACCCAAATGCCCATTTAAGCATTTTTCTTAAAAAAAAAATTATCTACTTCTTCCATGAGAGAGTGAGATAGAGAGAGAAACTGGGAAAGAGAAGCACTTCCACGGGATCCTCACACTGCCATCCACCACCAGCCTCAGTCAGCTAGGATCATGGCCACGCAGTACAGTATGTGTACAGGAAGACCTTGGGATGCAGACTCAGGACCTTCCCATGTAATTTTGTGATTTCAGAATTGTGGAGTACTGTGTTACCACTGTGCTATCCTGGCTGACCCCTCATACCCATTTTTTTTTAAGTTTCGGGATGATTTTGATGATTGGTCAGGTCTGGAATCTGTAATTTAGTCCAGATTCTTGACTTTGTAAAGGGAGAAATGAGGCTTAGAGATTAGGAGACCTTGCCAAACCCAGGTATGTAATTTGTGGTGAAGGCAAGACTGGAACCCACTTGACTTGAGCCTAGTGTGTACTGCAACCAGGTTGTGCTTGTTCTTCAAACTAACTACAGTTGTCCATCCACTGGGCAATTGTTCTAAATGACAAGTCTACAGAATGTGCATGTAGCCTCAGGGACCAGACCCCAGAGACAGGAGGCTGCGTTGTATAATGTGGTTCTGCAAGTCTCTGGAATTTTTCTTCGAAGCAATCCTCATCACACTCACGCACAGGGCCCAGGATCTGGCATCTATCCCCTCGAGACACTACCTCCATATTGACTCCAGTGCCATCGCTACCAGGCTCTTACATATCCACTAACTCATCTTTTCCTGGCATCATACTGTATTCTTAGAATCACTAGATTTTCTACTGGAACTTTTAAACTTTTTTGTTTTCACCTCCGTGACAATTTAAGAGTCATGAGTGATCATGTATAGATGTATAAATAAATGCAGGTGCTTTCAGATACCATCTTAGATTTTATATTGATGATTGAATAAGCACCAGTAGGATCACTTTCATTGAGGTGCATATTAGAGACAAGAGATGGGACAGTGGGTCATCACCATCTGTAAACATTTAGGGATAAAGACTTCAAAATGACTTGTGCAGAAGAGTCACCCTTATTTTGTGAGGATTTAGCTTTAGAAAAACAACCTCACCCCCACATTAAATTGTTACTATTTTTTTTTTTTTAGCGTTCTTTTTTTTTTTTTTTTTTTTTTCTTAGTTGTCTGCTTCTCCACGAAAGCTTTAGGGCACGTGCGCTCTCCAGAAAGACAGAGAAATAGAAAGCAAGAAATCATCCCCCAGGGGGAATGGCCACCCCACAATCCCTTCTCCTCCATTCTCCTCTTCACACGCACATGTGCCCGGCGTGAGTTTAAGCCACCGGGTCCGGGACTTGAACCGTGGTTGGCTACATGGGAATTCAGAGTTATTACACTAACAGCTGGTCCCAAATTGTTACTATTTTGAATACGACTGACTCTTATATTAGGTGGCCAGAAAAGTCATGGCACAGTTTTGCATAGAAAACCAGAGAAATATGTCATGAGTTTTCTGACAACCCAATAATATAGTTACTTAATTTGCAAATTCATTTGTATTTTATAAAAGTATAAGAGCTATAGGAAGCTTATTCTTTGTATTCTGGTTATACATAGTTATATAATATGAAAATAAATAATTCAAGAAACTATTGAGAGTCCACAAGAGTCTTCTTCTTAAAAAGGCTCTCTGTGTTATTCTGGCTCGGGGAGTACTACCTGGGGGAAAGGCGAACAGAACACCTATTCCAGGTAGTGCAGGGCTCCCAGCCTTCCTGTCTCTCCTCACTTCACTTCCTGCCTGGTTAATGGACTCTGAGGGAGGATGTACACAGGAGATAATTTGGGTAAGAAACAGCTTGACACACCTCACACTTTGATGGGAGCCTATGTTTTTTATTTTGTATAAGTTTGGTTATGGGGATGTTTCAGAGATTGATAAGCATAGAAACAAAAATTAAAAAAACAGAATCAGAAACCAAATCCCATGATAAACTGGCTATGGTGACACTAAAAAGTAGGGCCAGTAGTCACTAAATCTCATTATAGGAAACTCCAGGTTTCTATGTGAAGTGTGCATCTCTGTCATGTGTTTGTGAAAGCTCTATCTTCAGAAGAACCCACTGCTCTCTGTAAAAAACTAAGAAAGAGAGAAAGGGATCTTGTTTCCCCAGTTCTTTTTTTTTTTTTTTTCTTTTGAGAGAGAGATTTGCTATAGGGCACGTGTGCTCACTGGAAAGACAGAGAGAGAGAAAGTGAAAAATCGCCCCCCAGGGGAGATGGCCACACCACAATCCCTTCTTCTCCATTCTCCTCTTGGAGTTTGACATGCACACACATGTGCCTGGTGTGAGTTCAAGCCACCGGCCCAAGACTTGAACTGCGGTCGATCATGTGGGAGTTCAGTGTTGTAACGCTTACACCATCTTCTGGTCCTTCCCCAGTGCTTTTATGAATCTGAAATTTCATCTTGTACCCTACTAACCCACGTTTGGACTCTGCCACCTGCCGTCAATCCCTTTGGGCTGGATTTTACTGTAGATTTCTTTCTGGGGTCCTTGATACTGTAACCTGCCAGGCCTGCCCTGGCATCCATGGTCCCCAACTCTTGCCTAAATCGACTCTTTTTTTGTTAAAGAATAGGTTCAGTTTTTTCCCGCTCCCCAGAGGGACCATCCCAAGTAGCCTAAGATTGCCTTTCTCAGAATATAAGGGGCTTCTGAGAAGAAGACATCTATTCCAACCTCACCTGGTTATAGTAGGCCTGGGGGATCCCAATGGTATATTTCATGGGGATGACAGCAAGCCCTCTTTTCTTCCAGTAATTCTTTTTGTTAAATTCCTCTGCAGCCGCTTTCCTGGCATAAAATGAAGATTTCTCCAGACATTCTTTCCAGCATCTCCTCAAGGGCTCTGGATTAAAGGTCTGTTTATAGGCTGTTTTGTTAATTCTCTTATACATGTTTATTTCTTTAACCTGAAAGATGAGAAAGTGAAATGAACTTTTTTTTTGTTTATTTTAGAGGTTTTTGCCTTATGGCACATGCACTCTCCAGAGAGAGGGACAGAGACAGAGACAGTCAGAGGGAAAATGAGAATTTAGTCCCCATAGGGAAAGCCATGCCACAATCCCTTCTCTTTCATTCTCTTCCTGGAATCTTCGGCATGCAAGCACACACAACTGGCATGACTGTCAAGCCACCAGGTCCAGGACTCTAACTGTGGTTGGCCATGTGGGAGTCCACTATACCATCTGCTGGCTCAAAATTAAATGAATTTTAAGACCAGACCAGGCCCATCCAGAGATGGATACTGAACTTCAGCTGTGAAATATTGTTTGCTTTTCTTGATCAAAAATGAGGATTTTCTGCTGAGACTTCCTCTTCCAGAATCATTTCTAGTGGGTAGGGCTCTTCCTCTGCCTCCTTCTCTCCATTTCTCTCTGTCTCTCTCTGTCTCACTGTGTCTCCCTGTGACTTTTAATATTAAAAAAATTTTTTTAAGGTAAAGTATTCTTTGGGCTCTCAAGCCTTTCTTTTATTGTGCTATTTGCTGTCTTTCCCCATTTCATTTAGGAAAGGCACAAACCCAGGCCAGGCCCATCCTGAGATGGATACTGAACTTCAGCTATGAAATATTGCCTGCTTTTTTTGACCAAAATGAAGATTTTCTGCTGAGACTTCCTCCTCCAGAATAATTTCTAGTGTGTAAGGCTCTACCTCTGTCTCCTCTCCATTTCTCTGTCTCTCTCTGTCTTGTTGTGTTTCCCTGTGACTCTTAATTTTTTTTAGCTTTCTTTGCTTTTTAATATTAAAATCTAATTTTTATTATTTTTTCTTCCTTTTCATTTCATTTTTTCTTCTTTCCTCTTCTTTAATTCTTTTCCTTTTTTCTTTATCTTTATTCATTGGCTGCTCAGCTTCTCTGCACTAAGTGTCTAGACAGGTCGGAGTGAACAGGATCCAAACATCTAAATATGATTAGGGTCAGGATATTCCTCTATGCCCACTAAATCTGATGCAAAAAGAGTGAAAATGGAACAGAAGAGATATTGTAGATCACCTCCTCCTTCACGTCTCTGAACACTCAGATTAAACTTCAAGAATTAGGAAGAAATGCACCATCTGTCAGATGAATAGAAATCACCACAGGGTCACAAGAAATATGGGAAAGCAAGAAAATACCTCTCCTCCAAGGGAAAAGAATAACTCATCTTCATCCTCAGACAGGACAATGAAACTCATGGAAATGTCTGATAAGGAATTTAGAAAACTCATAATGACAAAGCTAACAGAGATGGAAGAGAAGAGATAGAATGAATTGCAGAAGTGGCAGGAGAAAGGAGCCGATGAGTTCCAGGAGGTGAGGAAATTCTTGCAAGATCTAAAAGAGGAAATGTACATTATAAAAAAGAGTAAAATGGACCTATTAGAGATAGAGGCTATAAAACAGAAAATCAAAACCTCCCTTGAAAGTATTAAAAGCAGACTAGATCATACAGAAAGTCGAACATTAGTTGTAAAAGGTAGAATCGCTGGCCTAGAAAAATCCACCACAAAGACTGAGAAAATGGCCCCGAAAAATGAGAATAATATACAAGAAACACAAGATACCATCAAACATCCAAAGATCTGGATAATTGATATCCCAAAAAGTGAAGAGACTCATAAGGGCATTGATAATCTCTTCCATGAAATCCTGCAAGAAAATTTTCCAAACTTAGAGAGGCATTCAAAGATCCAGGCCCAAGAAATACAAAGGACCCCCAATAGAATCGACCCAAGAAGATCTTCTCCAAGACACATTATAGCCAGATTGACCAAAACCACAGACAAAGACAAGATACTAAGATTGGCAAGAGAGAAATGTCAAGTTACCTACAAAGGATATCCCATCAGGCCGACAGCGGACCTCTCATCAGAAAAAATGCAAGTGAGGAAAGAATGGGAAAATATATTCAAAGTGTTAAGGGAAAAGCAATTGCAACCACGGATGCTATACCCGGCAAGATTATTCTTCATACGAGAGGAAAAGACAAGAATATTCTCAGATAAACAAAACCTGAAAGAATTTACCAACACCAGATCAGATCTCCAAGAAGTTCTCAAGGGAGTGCTATGTCAGGAAAATTAAATACAGGCACACAGAAATAAGAGTTCAAAAACTAAGAAAATGGCCAACTTAATTATAGGGACAAAGTCTAGAGTTGAATATTATAGCCCAGAATTTAATTGGGAAGATCAAACCACAACAGAAGATAGATTAAGTACATGAGACTGAACTGGTGAAATAGAATTTCAAGACTTTTGACTAAAACACTGCTGATTTTCTTCTAGGCTTTGTTTTCTGGTTTTAAGGATTTTTGTCTTGTCTTGAGCTGCCAATAGGTTCATGTACCTACTATTTGAACAGAATCCCAACCTGTTTCCTGGCTTTAAGTTTTAAGCATAGTTCCTTAGCATTTGATTTATTAAAGCGAAAACTGCTTTTCTTGAAATTAAATTATAGTAAAAAATACATAATTAATGACCATAGTAAGCTACATAGCATCATATTCATTCTTCTCAGTTTCACACCTGAAGTCAGGCTTGTATTCATGGATACATGTATATCAGCTGAACTTACTATTGAAAGTAGTTAGATTATTCAAGAAATTTTGTGAATCAAAAAATGTCAGGAAATGGGACCAGCAGTTAGCGTAATGGCTATGTCGCTGGACTCCCATGTAGTTGACTGCAGTTCGAGTCCTGGATTTGGTGGCTTAAAACTCAAGTGGGCACGTGAGCGTGTGTGCCCAAGATCCCGAGAGGAGAATGGAGGAGAAGGGATTGCGGCGTGACCATCCTCCCTGGGGGGTGATTTCTCGCTTTCTGTCTCTATGTCTCTGTCTGGCGAGCGCACGCGCCCTATAGCGAAAATCTCTCCAATAAAAAATAAAACAATAAAAAAAGAAAATGCTTTTACTCTTACACAAGCACTTTATTCATTTTCTATTTACTTTTAAGACAGTGTTTCACCTTCTCATGATCCTCTGGCCTCAGCCTCTCCAAACCACTGGGATTATGGGCACATTCCCTCGCACCTGACCCTAAGTCTGACAAGGAATCAAACTTGCAGCCCCAGCCTGCTGAGCACAATGTCTTAGCTTCGAGCTTCAGCTCGGTCACCTTATTCTTTATTGTTATCAAATTAGCTCTTCAAATTCCTAAACTGTGATAAAATGTTTGTACAAATGGCTGTAATCATCCCACTCTCTTGATTTGTGCCCTGGGCAGTAGCACATTTATTCTGGGAGGGGCCTTGTGACTTGCTTTGGCCAATGGGGCAACACATATATGGGGCAGGTAGAGACTTGAGAAGTGCTTGTGCATTAAGACGAGTCACATTCTTGGGGACTCCGTGACCCACACCATGAGAATAAATATGTGCTGTTGCCTACTGGAGGATGAGAGACTCAGTGGAGCAGAGAAGAGTCTTCTCAGCCATGGCATCCCCTAGACAAACCAGCCCTATAGCCACCAGCTATATCAGTGAAACCATCTTAGAATATAAAGCTTAAGTAAATTGGCCCAGACCAGAAGAACTACTCAACCGATCCACAGAATCATAAGAAATATTGGGTTGTCCGCGAAGTCATGACATTTTTTTCCTATGTTTTTCTATGCAAAAAACCATCGTGACTTTTCTGGCAATGCAATACTATTTGTTGTTTTAAGTCACTAAGTTTTGGGGTTGACCTACTCTATAACAAAAGTTAACTGATATACGAATGATGCACTTTCTTTCTTTAAATCCACATAGAAGCTGACATAATGCTATATGTAGGTGCTCAACATAAATTTGAACCAATGATGCCAGCATTTTATTAGAGGATTCTGATGGATTACCTGCTATGGTCAGAATGAATCTTTTAAGAAGCATGTGTTGAAAACGTAATCCCTGGTGCAGTGTTGGGAGGAGGGGCCTAATGGAAGGTGTTCAGGTCATGAAGGATCCACTCTGAAAAATGCATTAGCGCCTAATATAAAATGACCTGAGATGGTGAGTTCCATCCCTCAGTCTCTTGCATGTACTCGCTGGCTCTTTTATTCTCTGCCGTGGGATGATGTAATAAAAAGGCCCTCACCAGATGCACCCCCTTAATCTTAGAGTTCTGAGCCTTCAGAACATGAGCCAAATAATTTTCTGTTTATGAGAAATTATCCAGCCTCAAGTATTCTGTTATAGCAGCAGAAAATGATTACCTCTTCAGGGAGCAAGTTACACTGAGATGCCACAGCCGTTATGTAGGTCTCGACTACCACTGTACTCTGAGGGAAGCCAAACCCTCGGAAGGCAGTGTTGGATGGCAAATTTGTTTTGCAAGGTCTACCTCGGCACCGGAAATTAGGAATATGATATGCATTTTCAGATTTCAGCACAATGAACTCCACCACCTGAATTAAAGCACAACAAAACAAAACTTCACATCAGTCAAATATTCAAAGCCACTTATCTGAATTTCATTTACTTGAACACTTTGCAGAATTTATCTAGTTTGTAAGACAAATATTTGTGCAAAGAAAATGTTGCACACACAACTCAACTGTTAACCTGCGGGAAAGGCACATTTCTTATTTACCATTTCAGACTCATCAGGAGTGCATCCACCATTGACATAGTACTCAACGTCAGCAGCTTTGATCACACCGTTGTTCATAAATCCAACCTGCAGAGTGAAAACAGGACAATTTTCTCTAGCTCTTCTTTGCCACCAAACCATGATACACAAACACATCGGGTCATAGCTGTCAGTCCAGACTTAGCTTCTTTGCACAACCAGATATGACAGTCACCAGAGGAACACAGATTGGTGCCAAGTTGAACATGATCCCAACAGCAAGTTCTGACTAGAGTTAGGCAGCATCCGAGTATCTCTTTCAAGTGGTGTGGAATTTAATCATTGCTTTTACCATCGGTTGGTTAAACCAGTGAAACCTTGGACAATGTCTCAAGCAGTGTGCTAAACTTTTTGCTGTCACTCACTTTGTATTTTCCGAGGAGTGGGTGGCGTCCAGCTGTTATCAGCATGTCATCACCACGCTCTAGGACAAACCGGATTGGGTGGCCAGTCCTACAGGAAATAACATTGTCAATATGACGGATGCTCCTTAAAGTTGTAGAAACAGAGATTGGGGAAGGGACTTGATTACCATTTAGCTTAGTGGTTGTTCAATGGGGGTAGGAACATGTCTTAAACAATGCTGTGAAAGTTTGTGGGGGCATTAAATTAAAAAAAATGATTAGTTTAATCATGTCTCAGAATTTGTATATTGTAATGATTTGTATTTCCTTTTTATATGACATTAAGGAGTTGTATGATTACCTTATAATCATATATATGTCTTCTTCTTATGAATTTCACTTCAGGTTAGTAAAGGGAGCATTAAAATATTTATCATAAGGAGGATGTTGAGAATGAAAGGTTGAGATCCAAAGCTCCGTAGAGCTCAGCCTCACTCACAATCAGATTCTATTCTGATAAAATGCTGGGGGCCAGCAGGTTGTGTGGTAGTTAAGGTGTTGGACTCCCACGTGGCCAATAGCAGTTCGAGTCTTGGATCCTGCTGGCTTGAAAATCATACTGGGTATGTGTACATGCATGCCCCAAATCCCAGGAAGAGAATGGAGGAGAAGGGATTGCAGCATAGCCATCCTCCAGGGGGATGATTTCTCATTCTCTCTCTCTCTCTCTCCGTATATTGTAATGATTTGTATTTCCTTTTTATATGACATTAAGGAGTTGTATGATTACCTTATAATCATATATATGTCTTCTTCTTATGAATTTCACTTCAGGTTAGTAAAGGGAGCATTAAAATATTTATCATAAGGAGGATGTTGAGAATGAAAGGTTGAGATCCAAAGCTCCGTAGAGCTCAGCCTCACTCACAATCAGATTCTATTCTGATAAAATGCTGGGGGCCAGCAGGTTGTGTGGTAGTTAAGGTGTTGGACTCCCACGTGGCCAATAGCAGTTCGAGTCTTGGATCCTGCTGGCTTGAAAATCATACTGGGTATGTGTACATGCATGCCCCAAATCCCAGGAAGAGAATGGAGGAGAAGGGATTGCAGCATAGCCATCCTCCAGGGGGATGATTTCTCATTCTCTCTCTCTCTCTCTCCAGTGAGTGCACATGCCCTGTGGCAAAAAACTAAAAAACAGTTCATTAAGAAGTCTGGTTTCCATGTTTCTATTTGTTTGTTTGTTTGTTTTGCTTTTGCTTTTTGCCATAGAGTGTGTGTTCTTACCAGGGAGACAAAGATAAAGGAAAAGTGAGAAATCACCCCCTAATGGGGTTGGCCATGCCCAATCCCTTCTCCTCCATTTTCCTCTTAGGATTTTGGGCACACAAACACAGGTGTCAAAGTGATTTTTAAGCCATCAGGTCCAGGATTCAAGCTGCAGTTGGCCATGTAGGAGTCTGGTGCCTTAACCACCATACCACCTGCTAGCCCCAGGACTTTGGTTTCTGATGGAGCATTCCCAGTGCCTGCTTCTTATAGGATAGCCTTCTCTTTTCTTAGAAAGTGCCAATCGGCTAAGATGTTCAGTTTTTCTTTTTGTACTTGTGGTCTGGAATAAGTTAAGCTTGTCTTGAATATGTCTTCATGAACTTCGGAAGTTGCAAGGCTGACAAAAGTCAAGGCTGTTCAGTGCCTGGATATTCCAACCGAACGAGGCAAAGGCTAAGTGACTATTCCAGGTAGCAGCAGAGCCCCTGGTTTATCTCATGACAAAACTTGTCTCTCGTAAGGTCAGGTTTTGGCTTTCCTTCCCCTCAGCCAACCCCAGCTGAGCTGAAAGCTGGGGTGCAGGCTGGAGGACTCAGGTGGCAGCAACGGTATTGTACTGTGACATTAACAACTTTCACTGTTACTTACTTGTTGGCAGCCACAGCACTGATAGCTCCTAGCAGAGCAGGCTTGGTCACTTTGCCCCCAAATGCTCCGCCGGCTCTTCTCATGTGGCAGGCGACTCTGTTCCTGGGGATGTTTAGTGCTGCAGCTGTGTATTCCTGCAAGAGGCAAGTCCCCAGAACCACACAAGTGCAATTTAATAACTGTGCTCCTCCACGTTGTTTACTGCTGCTCAGTAAAAGGAACTTGGGAATTTGATAAGGACGTACATGTGGAGTCGTGCGACCCTCGTCATGACATAGCTACAGGATGTTTTCAGCATCCTTGTATCCAAGGTTTCTTTTACAAGCCATCACTTCTCATCTGTCATCACACTGCAGCACCAGGCAACTATTAAACTTTCTGTCTGCATAGATTTGCCTGTTTTGAACATTTTGTAAAAATGGACTCATCCAATATACGTTCTTTTATGACTGGTTGCTTTCACACAGCATGTTTTCAAGGTTCATCTATATCATAGCATATATCAGTATTTCATTCCTTTTTATAGCCAAAAATACCCCATTGTATCTACAGTATATACCTAATTTTGTTCATCTATTCATTTTTTTTCTTTTTTTGGAGAGGTTTTTGGTATAGGGTACATGCGCCCTCCAGAAAGACAGAGACAGAGAGACAGAAAGCGAGAAATCACCCCCCATGGGGGATGGCCATGCTGCAATCCCTTCTTCTCTATTCTCCTCTCAGGATTTTGGACACACACATCCAGCATGACTTTAAGCCACCGGGTCTGGGACTCGAACCGCAGTCGACTACATGAGAGTCCAGTGACATAGCCATTACGCTAACTGATGGTCCTGTCTATTCATTATTGGTGGACATTTGGGTAGTTTCCTCTTGTGATTTTTATGATTAATGCTACTGTGAACTTTTGTGTATAAGTTTTTTTTTTTTTTTTTTGCTATAGGCATATGCACTTGCCAGAAAGACAGAGACAGAGAGACAGAAAGTGAGAAATCCCCCCCCCCCAGGGGGAATGGCCATGCTGCAATCCCTTCTCCTCCATTCTCCTCTTGGGATCTTTGACACGCACGCACACATGCCCGGCGTGAATTTAAGCCACCAGGACCAGGACTTGAACCTCAGTCAACTACATGGGAGTCCAATGACATAACCATTATGCTAACTGCTGGTCCCATGTATAAGTTTTTATTTAGATATACATCTGCATTTCTCTTGGGCAGATACTTAGTTGTGGAATTGCTAGCTATATGGTCACTATTTTTAAAAAGAATGATTTATTTAAATTTATTTGTTATTACGGTTATTATTGTTATGTTTAATTTGACCAGAGACAGACAGAATGAGAAAGAGAGAAAGTGTGAAGGCAAGCTGCCAGGTTTGAGACTTGAACTGTGATTGACCATGTGAGAGTCCAGTGCCTTAACCAGTGTCTGTTTTTACTGCCGCTCTAGGTTTTGGGCTGTAGCAGTCAGTGGGTACCCAGTGCCCCAGTTACCCCTGGGAAATGCCTGCTGTTGTGGAGCTCGCTATACCCCAGGAGGTGTTGGTGGCAGGTGGCAATCATGACCTTGGGGCATACATGCTGTCCTTTGGAGTCCAGAGTCATAGGTTTCTTCCAGAAGGGCCCGCAGAGGTGATATTTATTCTTTAATGTGGGAAAAAAATAACTGATGGCAGTGACTTACAGGTCAGATAGCTGTGTAGGAGCAAACCCTATATCTTCCCCTTTGTTTACTTAAAACTTATCTGTGGAGACCACAGGCACATCCGAGCTCAGAAGCAGTGGCATTAGCCTTTCATTTTGCCTTGAATGGCGGCTGGCAGCTCCCTTCTCCATGGAGCCTACTCACCCTTTTTAGGACCTCAGGGTGTCAGTTCACCTGTGCTTCACCAGGAAGCCCTGAGCTTTTCCCCTCATTAGTGCTTGCCATTACTCCTCCCGCAACCCCAGTACGATTTTTGTAAGTATACTCCCTGCTTGGCACTCTTTCAGGACCAACAGCTCCATATTTGGTGCAGGGGAATATTAGAGGATTTTCTTCACTCCTCTGGGTGCAGCAAAGCCTCATTTCTCAACCACTAGCATAGGACTGACTTTTACATGCTATATACAGAGCCAGGCTAAAATTGTCTTGGAAATGCCATTCCTTTACATGTTCACCACCAATGCATGAGAACATTCATGTAGAAAAGTAAAACATATGAACTAAAAAAAAAATTTGAGATGAATGCTAAGGCTTTGACCTCCTTAAGAATAAGTTACACACTTCAATTATTATGAGGAAAAGATGAACTTTGCCCTATATTTTGAAAGGTAGTAAAATTTCTAGGTCACTTTGAAATGTCTTTCTTAAAAAATTAGAAAATGTGTTGGGGCAACAGGTGGCACAATGATTAAAGCACTGAATTCTCACATGGATGACTTCATGGTTTGAGCCCCAGACCCCAGACTTAAAAATCATGCTGGGCATGTGTCCATGCATGCCCAAAACCCGAAGAGGAGAATGAAGGAGAAGGGACTGCAGCATGGTCATTTCCCCTGGGGAGTGATTGCTCACTTTCCCTCTTTTTTTCACTCTCTGGTGCATGCAAGTACCTTACTGCAAAAACTTAAAAACTTAAAAATTAAAAAAAAAAAAAGAGTGTCATAGGCGTACTTTTGTCCCATTCTACTAGCCAGAGTTTTCAAAGAGGGTTTAAAAAAAGAACTGGCTAGAAAAATCATTACATTGATCAAATCTCAAAATCAATTTTCATATATAAAATTGTTACTTACTTCTTCCATGCAGTCTCTTCTTTATCTTTAAATGTGTGCCTCCAGGCATGCTTATTTATTTTCATTGTCTCAAGCTAACATTTAAAATGTGTATTAAGGGAACAGTAGGTGGCGTGGTGGGTAAGGCGCTGGACTCCCATGTGGTCAGCTGCGGTTTAATTCCTAGACCTGACAGCTTGCTTTCTCACTTTCTCTCTCACTCTCTCTCTCTTTCTCTCTTGCTCTGCTCCTCTCTGGTCAAATTAAAATAAGTAAATAAATCCATAAAGTTAAATAAAATAATTCTTTAAAAAATGTGTGTTAAAGTCAATAAATCCACATTTTTGAATTTCAAAAAGATATATATGTCTCATTTTCTTCTTTCTGGATTTTAGCTAATGTCAAGTGTGCGAGCAGTTCAAGAGTGGGGGAGTCAGTGGGCTCTGACCATGAAGTGCCTGCTTGCAAGGGCTTCATATCCACGGTCATCTGGAGCCTCATTTTTCCACTATCCCGTTACCTGCACATGGGTTGGAAACTGTGTCCCAAGGTGTAAGACCATTTCTTTATCTTCTTCTTTTGGGATAGCCAGGATTGTTTGTGTTTCCATGTAAAAATGTTCCTGTCCTTCCACATGAACTTCACCTGGAAAGCATAAATATAGAGCAATGTTTAATCAGAAGTTCCAGGGTGCAAGCTCTCAGAGGTATTTTGTTTATTAAGAATTAATTGCTTGAATTTGTGGAGAACTGAACTTTATATCATTTGCTTAAAACATTTTCTCTAAGAAATTAAAAACTGGCAAAAGACTTGAAAAAACATTTCTCCAAAGGGAATATAATAATTGCCAATGTGCACATGAAATGGTTCAGCATCATTAATCATCAAAGAAATCCAATTAAAGCCATAATGAGATGCTGGTTCACATCAGTCAGATTAGATGAAACCAAAAACATTGGAACAATGGAACTTTTTTTTTTTTTTTAATGTTTTTGCTATGGGGTATGTACACTTGCTGAAGAGGAGAGAGACAGTGGGAGGGAAAGCAAGAAATCACCCCCCATGGAGGATGACCATGCTGCAATCCCTTCTCCTTCATTCACTTCTTGGGTTCTTGGCACTCGTGCACATGGGCCTGACATGACTTTCAAGCCACTGGATCTGAGACTCGAATTGTGGTTGGCCATGTGGGAATTCAACTGCCTTAACCACTATACCACCTGTTGGCCCCACAATGGAACTCTTAATTGCTAGCAGGATTATAATGGGAACGAGTTTTAATTTTTTCTTTCTTTTCCTTTTTCTTTTCTTTTTTTTTTCTCCCTAATATTTGGTCTTGACTACTACAAATATGTATGTTTAGTTTTAGCAATTCCATTTCTGGGTATATTCCATCAGAAGTAAATACTATGTTCAACAATAGACATGCGTAATAACATTTATAGTATTTCATCATAATGACCCCAAGTTAAAAACAACTCAAATGTCCATCAACTATAGAATGGATAAATAAATTGTGAAATATTCCTAAAAATAATATATTCCCAAACCATTAAAAAGCCTATGCAATAATATTTATTTATTTTTAATTTCTTTTTCCATTTATTTATTTTTACATTTTCCCCCAAACATTTACATATAGAAAAATTTTTGCTCACACTCCATAGTTCTTGAGAGTTAATAAACAACTTTCAAAATTTTAGAGTACTGAGTTTTAAAGATAATATTCAAAATGTTTCTTATAATTTTGTATAATTTTGTTTGTGACTCTATAACAATAGAAACAGTATGGTTTGAGTAGTTGACATGTAAATATTAAAAAAAAAACTCTCCAAAATATTTAAAACCACACTGTCTCTGTTGTTATAGAGTCAGAAAAAATTATATAAAATTAAAAGAAATATTTTGAACATTATCTGTAAAACTCAGTATTCTGAAATTTAGAAAGTTGTTTATTAATTGTCAAGAACTATGGAGTATGAGCAAAATTTTTTGATATGTAAAGTAAATGTTTGGAGAAAAATGTAAAAATAAATAAATGGAAAAAAAAGGAAACAACATGGATGACTCTTCCATACTTAATTAATTAATTTATTTTTTTTTGGAGAGGTTTTCGCTATAGGGTGCGTGCTCTCGCCAGACAGACAGAGAGAGACAGAGAGACAGAAAATGAGAAATCACCCCCAAGAGGGGATGGTCATGCCACAATCCTTTCTCCTCCATTCTCCTCTCGGGATCTTGGGCATGCACATACACGCACCCGGTGTCAGTTTTAAGCCACCGGGTCCAGGACATGAACTGCGGTCGACTACATGGGAGTTCAGTGACATAGCCATTATGCTAACTGCTGGTTCCCACTTAATTTAAGTTTAAAAAGGGCACAAGACATGCTATACTGGAAGTTTCCATTTATATTAAGTTCAAAATGGATAAAAGTATTCTATGGTGATAAAAGTTAAAATAATACTTTGGGGAATTACTAAGAGAGGACACAAACTTTCTTTTTTCTTTTTCTATTTTAAAAAAATTATTTATTTATTTTATATTCTTTCACTGAACTTCATCACAGCGTACAAAATGGGATTTCTCATCCAGAATACACTGTATAGTGGCTTAATCATACATGTTATCATCAACAAGTAATTTTACTTTCTTCTTTCTTATATATATATATATATATATTTAACTCTATTTCTCACCCTCTGCCATTTTATATCCTCCTCCCACACTATCTCTGATATCTGCAGTTGCTTTCCATTTCTCTTTAATTTTTTCTACATTTTATTGATTCACAAAATACCTTAATGAATCTAACTACTTTCAATAGCAAGTTCAGCTGATATATACATATCTGTGAACACATGTAGACTTTAGGCATGAAACTCTCTGAGTAGAATGAATATATAATAACATAGCACCTAGCTGAGAATATATAGCTTACTGTGGTCATTAAATAGGTATTTTAAAATATATTTCTTAATTTCAAGAAAGGCAGTTTTAGCTTTAATAAATCGAAACTTAAAAAATGTTAAGATAACTTTGCTTAAGACTTAAAGTCAGGAAACAGGTTATCATTTGGTTCAAATAGTAGGTACATGGACCTCTTGACTATTTAAGAAAAGACAAAAATCCTTAACTCTGGAAAACAAAGCATAGAAGATCAGTAATGTTTTAGGCAAAAGTCATAAAATTCTATTTCACAAGTTCAGACTCATGTACTTTATCTTCTGTTGTGATCCAATCTTTCTGTTTAAATTCTAGAAGGTAATGTTCAACTCTGGACTTGTCCCTATAATTAAGCTGGCCATTTTCTTAACTGTTTTAGAACTCTTATTTCCGACTTTAGTGTTTCCTAATATAGCACTCCCTTCAGCACTTCTTGGAGAACTGGTCTGATGTTGGTAAATTCTTTCAGGTTTTGTTTATCTGATAATGTTCTTGTCTTCTCTTCCCATATGAAGGATAATCTTGCTGGATATAGTATTCTTGGTTGAAATAGTTTTTCACTCAACACTTCGAGTGTATTTTCCCATCCTTTCCTTGCTTGCATTGTTTCCTATGAGAGGTTGCTGTTAGCCTGATGGAATATCCTTTGTAGGTAATTTGACATTTCTCTCTTTGTAATTTTAGTATCCTGTCTTTGTGGTTTTGATCAATCTGGCTATAATGTGTCTCGGAGAAGATCTTCTTGGGTTAATTCTCTTAGGGGTCCTTTGTTATTTTTTGGGTCTGGATCTTTAAATGCCTGTCTAGGTTTGGAAAGTTTCTTCACCTTCTGGGATACCAATTATCTGAATGTGTTGACATTTAATGGTATCCCGTATTTCTTGTATATTATTTCTCATTTTTGGGGACTATTTTCTCAGTCTTTGTGGTGAATTTTTCTAATCTATTGATTCTGTCTTCTACATCTGAGATTAAATTTTCTGCATGATCTGGTCTGCTCTTAATACTTTCAAAAGAGGCTTTGAGTTACTGTATTATAGCCTTCATCTCTAACAGTTCCATTTGATTCTTTTTTTTTTTTTTGAGAGGTTTTTGCTATAGGGTGCATGTGCTTGCCAGAAAGACAGAGAGAGACAGAGAGATAGAAAGCGAGAAATCACCCCCCCCCCCAGGGGGGATGGCCATGCCGCAATCCCTTCTCCTCCATTCTCTTCTCAGGATCTTGAGCACGCACATACATGTGCCCAGTGTGAGTGTAAGCCACTGGGTCCGGGACTCGAACCACAGTTGGCTACATGGAAGTTCAGTGACATAGCCATTACGATAACTGCTGGTCCCCCATTTGATTATTTTTTAATGATATCTATTTCCTCTTTCAGCTCTCGCAAGAACTTCCTCACCTCCTGGAACTCGTCAGATCTTTTCTCTTGCCTCTTCTGGAGTTCATTGTCTCTCGTCTCTTCCATTTCTGTTAGCTTTGTCACTATGAATATTCTAAATTTTTTATCAGACATTTCCATGAGTTCCATTAGACTGTCTATGGGTGAAGAGGAGTTATTCTTTCCCCTTGTGGGAGAGGTATGTTTTTGGTTTCTCATATTTCTTGTGCCTCTGTGATGACTTCTAGTTCTCTGATGGGCTATTTGTTTCTTTCTAATTTCTAGAAGTTCAGTCTGAGTGTTCAGAGGCATGCAGGAGGAGGTGATTTGCAAACTCTTTGCTATTTCATTTTTCTCATGGGGGAATCTATCAGGGTAAATTCTCAGCAGAAAAATCTTCATTTCTCTTATTCCCTGGAAGTACCAGTTCTCAGCTGCCATGGAGGACTCAATCTTCTTCTGAAAGCCTGCCCTTTTTGCCTCTACAGGGTAAATTCTCAGCAAAAAAATCTTCATTTCTTTTATTCTTTGAAAGCACTAGTTCTCAGGTGCCATGGAGGACTCTGACAGGACACCAACTTTCTAGAGTGCTGGAAATGTGATATGTATAGTATTTACATAAATGTGTACATACATATATATGTAAAAATTCACCAAGCTGGAAACCTATCATGCATTTCAAATTATCATTTTTAAAAAATCACTTTGGGAAAGAGAAGCACTGTGTTGAATTTCAGTATTTCTCAAACCAGATGATTGAAATTAGTCTTCAATTTCAGAAACTTCATTTTTAAGACTGAAAACTACTTACCTTCAATGATTTGGTCAACATATTTAAAGGCATGATCTACATCTCCTTGCTCGATTTTTTTCTCAACAGAAAGAAAAGAATTGTGCTCTAGGGCTTGCTGCAGTGGAAAAACAAACCAAAACAAACAACAGTTTTTTTGACATTCTAGTAAATTATTTATCCTCCATCAAAATTTCATTCTCCCTCTGTGTCACAACTTCACACACAAAGACAATCAGAGCTGGAGTAGCATGGAGAGGCAGCAGAAATTGGATTCAAATGAACTACAGGAATTGGTGATTCATTAATTTTGTTCAAGGCTCTGGGAAGCGTTTAGTGAGATACGAGAGTTTACAAACATGGTCCCACCTCCAGATTACCAGGTGATGATCTGAGGCAGTTTGGTATTAAGGTGTCAATTTTGGAGTTTGGGAAAGTACACAACAGAGTGAAGAAGGTCAAGAAGGAGGATGCTGGTGGGGTCTGGTATGCTCAGGGATGGCCTTGCATAGTTGATCTGAGTTGAATCCTAAATCATTTGAAGTCAAGGACACATCATAAAATAATAGTTTGAGGTTGAAACCAAGCTAAGAGGCCTAAATGGGGACAAGGCCAGGCTGACTGAAGCACAGCTTTCTATCAAGAAATAGCAGTTACTGAGTTTGGAAAAAGTGAATTAAGGCTATACTATGGAAAACCTTGATTCCATACTAGAAGTTTGAACCTTATCTGAAGGATGTTGTCGAATAGGAAAAGTGACCTGGTGAACTCTGTGGCTTAGGAAGGTTAATGTGGTGGGTAGAGATGGACTGAAATGGAAGACAGGACTCTCTTTAAATGGTTGTAGTAGTAAATCTGACAAGGTGGTGAGTGAGGATTGGGCTAGAGAGTGGAGTGAATGAAAAGAACAGGGAGGATTTAGGATATATTTGGTAGCTGTTAGGAAGAATAGGGAAAACCAAAGAGATTGCTCCAGACTGTATCCTACTTGGGGGAATTAGATTGCTTATGCATCTGTCTATCCTTCTAACCCCTCACTATCCAACACAGATTCATTGAGCACTGACTATGGGTGCAGCATTCTTGAACACCAGGATTATAAAGCACAATACAACACATCCTAGCCCTCATTAATAACAACTTAAAAAAACAAGATAGCGGGAACCAGCAGTTGGCGTAATGGTTATATCGCTGGACTCCCACGTAGTCGACTGCGGTTCACGTCCTGGACCTGGTGGCTTAAAACTCACGCCTGGCGCGTGTGCATGCGTGCCCAAGATCCCGAGAGGAGAACAGAGGAGAAGAGATTCTGGCGTGGCTATCCCCCCAGGGGGTGATTTCTCGCTTTCTGTCTCTCTGTCTCTCTCTGTCTGTCTGGCGAGCACACGCGCCCTATAGCAAAAATCTCT